GGGTCAGGGCGCCTTTTGGGGTCTACTTCCGGCCCAGCGGACTCCCAGTGCAGAGTGTGGAGGGAGGAGGTAAAAGGGAGAAAGTTTTTTCCCAAATGGCCTTTTTTTTTAATCCCCACGAAAGGGTGCACGCATGTACTTATCCTAGCCTCTTGGGAGTTGCTCTTCACTGGTTCGGAGTGTCCAAGCAGAATCTCTGCTGTTGGGTCTCTCCTGATGTGGAAACTGCTTCCCGAGGGCGCGCACAGTACAGCTGTTTGCCTGCTTCACTGCGGACCGGCGTGGCTGTGTCTCTGCAGTATCACCGCCGCGGCTCTAGCCCTCCTCACCTCTTCCAAACGGTCTTCCTCTCCCATATCACTCAGACGGATTTCTTAACCTTGCCTTGTTCAGTGCTGCCAGATGTTCACATAGAATCAAATCACTTATTTTTCCAGGTCTTTGTTGTAAGAGGGATATAGGAAGTGTCTCACTACTCGGCCATGTTGACCATGCCCCTCTCCCAGTGTTGTTAATCTTTAAACAATACCTGGGGGAAATGATTTTCCAACACCCTGAATACACTTGACAATAGAACATCATAAAACACATACTCTTAAGTGTTTTGTGCTCTTTCTGGCAAAGGACTATCAGCAAAATGGATTTTGTAAGAGTAGAATGGTCCAAAAAAATAAGACAATGGTTTCTTTCTTTCTTTCTTGTTTTTTTTTTAATTTTTTAAAAATTTCTCCTTTGTCTGTTTTTATTTCACACTCCAGGAGAAGAGGCCCACATAAGCAGCAAGACATATCTTTATATTTTACAGTCATTTCAGTGAGCTCACATTCTCCATTCTTAGAATAGTCTCCAGGCAAGTGAAGGGTTGATGGAGTTCCAGCACAGTGCTTGATGGGTGGAATCATTGAAAAAAAAATTTTTTTTAATTTTGTTTACTTTTTTGTTGTTGTTGCGAATATACACAGCAAAACATATACCAATTCAAGAGTTTTTACATGTACAATTTAGTGACATTGATTACATTCTTTGAGTTGTGTAACCATTCTCACCTTTTCTCAGTTGTTCCTCCCTCATTAATGTAAACTCACTGCCTCCTAAGTTTCCTATCTAATCTTTCGAGTTGCTGTATAGATAGTTTTTAAAAGAGCATACTGCTCAAGACAGACATTTTTTACTAGTTATGCTGAACTGTTTGGTTTTAACAAGACTTCAGGGGATATTTTGGTTTAAGGTTTAAAGATTATCTCAGGGCAGTAGTTTCAGGGATTCTTCCAACCTTCATGGCTCCAGGAAGTCTGGGGTCCATGAGAATTTGAAATTCTGCTCTGCATTTTCCCTCTTTTGATCGTGATTCTTCTGTAGAATCTTTGATCAAAATGTTCAGTAACGGTCACCAAAGAAGACATTCAAGTGGCCAACAGACACATGAGGAAATGCTCGCGATCACTAGCCATTAGAGAAATGCAAATTAAAACCACAATGAGATACCATCTCACCCCAGCATTACTGGCACGAATCAAAAACACTGGAAATAACAAATGTTGGAGGGACTACAGGGAGATCGGAACAATTATGCACTGCTGGTGGGAATGCAAAATGATACAGCCATTTTGGAAAATGATATGGCGCTTCCTCAGAAAGCTAGAAATAGACATACCGTTCGATCCAGCAATCCCACTCCTAGGAATATATCCTAGAGAAATAAGAGTCATCACTCGAATAGACATATGCAGACCTATGTTCATGGCACCATTGTTCACAATAGCAGAAAGATGGAAACAACCTAGATGCCCATCAACAGATGAATGGATAAACAGACTATGGTACATACACACAATGGAGTACTATGCAACGAGAAAGAACAATGATGAATCTGTGAAGCATCTCATAACATGGATGAAACTGGAGGACATTATGCTGAGTGAAATAAGTCAATCACAAAAGGACAAATATTGTATGAGACCTCTATTGTAAAAACCCATGAAAAAGTTTACACACAAAAAGTAACAATCTTTGTTGGTTACGAGGGATGGGAGGGGTTCGGGGGAAATAGTAAATAGGCAATAGGTAAGTGGTATCTTTGGTGAAGGGTGAGACAGTACACAATACTGGGGAAACCAGCACAGCTTGTACAAGGAAAGGTCATGGAAGCTCCATAGACACATCCAAACTCCCTGAGGGACTGAATTGCTGGGTGGAGGGCTGTGGGGACCATGGTCTCGGGGAACATCTAGCTCAATTGGCGTAACACAGTTTATAAAGACAATGTTCTACATTCTACCTTGTTGAGTAGTGTCTGGGGTATTAAAAGCCTGTGAGCAGCCATCTAAGATACTCCACTGGTCCCATCCCTTCGGGAGCAAGGGAGAATGAAGAGAACAGGATACAAGGAAAACATTAGTCCAAAGGACTAATGGACCACAGCTACCATGGCCTCTACCAGACGGAGTCCAGTACAGCTAGATGGTGCCTGGCTACCACCACTGAATGCTCTGACCGGGATCACAAGAGAGGATTCTGGACAGAGCTGGAGAAGGATATAGAACAAAATTCTAGCACACACAAAAAAGACCAGATTTACTGGCCTAAAGGAGATTGGAGAAACCCCGAGAGTATGGCCCCCAGACATCCTTTTAGCTCAGTGGTGAAGTCACTTCCGAGGTTCACCGTTCAGCCAGGGATTGGACAGCCCCATAAAACAAAACGGTACTAATGAGGCACAGCAGTCCAGGGACAAGGGCTAGAAGGCAGGAGTGGACAGGAAAGCTGGTGATAGGGAACCCAAGGTTGAGTAAGGTTAGTGGTGATGTGTAATGAGGTTGTTAACCATTGTCATAGGGCAACATGTGTAGTATTTAATGAGAAACTATTTTGTTGTAAGCCTTCATCTAAAGTGAAAATAGCAGCACAACTGGAAGAGTGTAGTTGATGTCACTGAACTGTGCATGTAGAAGTTTTTGAAATGGTGTATCTTTGGGTATGTATATTTTCACCAAAACAAAAAAGGTTGAGAAGGGAGAGGGTTGACATGTCGTGGGGTTGTTAACCAGCGTCATAAAATCATATGTGTACTACTGTTCAGTAAGAAATTATTTGTTCTGTAGACCTTCACTTCAAGTACAATTAAAAAAAAAAATGTTCAGTATTGGTAGCAGGGCACAATCCAGAAAATAGTTTCTTAATTCAGAAAAGTTGCTGTTAGAAGTGTTTCTTTTTTTCTAAGGGAGGTTGCAGCCTAAAGCATTGCATGTTTTTGTTTACTTTGCGTAAATTTTGTAAGTGCTAACTAAAGGAATTGTACAGAGCTTTTATAAATGCCTTTCTGTTTTGAAAACCTGGCAATCTCTGAAGCTAATATTCTAATGTGATTTCTAAATTTTCACGGAAAATTGGTTAGATCACTTTTATGACAAGAAGTTTTAAAATTGTGCCTGATCTTTCAAATGACACTTTGGCTGAGCTTATTAGGTGTTTTAGTTTGCCGGTTTATACTTCGTACTCACAAGTAAAATTGCTTCTATTTGCTATATATTGTCTCGTAAAGATTATAGATACTTCTAATAAGATTAAAGTCCCTCATGTCAGAAAACCAAGAAGGATAAGAAATAATTCTGACAGCTTATGCTGTGAGATACACCTCCATTTCCCTTTCTTCCAAGCGATATTTTCACTGTAATTGTTTAAACACACATATACAATATGCCAAGCCCTTTACGTACCTTATCACATTTAACTCACAAAATTCAAAGAGGCCGATATTACTCAGATTAATTAATGTGTCTGAAGTCACAATTGCTAATAAGAGGTGGAGGCAGGATTATAATCCCGATCGAACTCTGAAGTCTGTGGCTCAAGCTACCAGGCTCTCGTACCTCCAAATTGAGTGTAGCAAATGTCCACTGTGAATGGTCTTGAGCTACCATGTATATCTTTATGTAGGTCATATTTTTTTAAAATCACAGTAAAATACTTGGGATTGTTTGAAGGTACCATATGCTTAGACATTTCTCTCTGGTTTCAGTGTGAGATATAGTTTCTCAAAGCATATGTGCTGCCTTTAATTAGAACCCCATTCATCCCAGGTCAGTGGCTGAGATGGACATCCTCTAATGTAAAATATGGAATAGGCCCAACCAGAGTCCCAGACTGTGCCAGGACCTGGTGACCCACCTCCAGCTGTGCCCTGGCCTCTGAGCTTCTCGGGCTGGAAAATAAGACCATTATTCAGCATGCTGGCATTTTGTTGCTGCTGTTGTTGTTAGTTGCCATTGAGTCAGCTTTGACTCATGACAGCCTTACGTATAACAGAACGAAACATTGCCTGGTCCTGTGTCATCTTCAGGAACCCTGGTGGTGCAGTGGTTAAGTGTTATGGCTGCTAACCAAAAGGCCGGCAGCTTGGATCCACTTCAAAATTGTTGGTGTGTTTGAGCCCATGGAGGGTTTCCCTCGTGTTCACTGACCCTCTCTTTTACTAAGCATGATGTCCTTTTTTAACAGAGTAGTTGGTTATACACAACCATATGCTAAACGTCTTTTTCTCCTCCTCTCAAATGTTTTTCAGGGAAACTTGAATGTGGGTCTCCCAAGGTACATCCTAGTGGTCTCATTGTAGAAGACGATGTGAGCCTCCTTGCTGCAGCTTTGCGAATTCAGGTTTGCACGACATAGCTCTGTGAAAAGTTTTGAGTTTGGAGCTTTGACTAATAGTTCCTAAGAGTTTGTGGGTGCTTTCTGTTTACCCGGCACAATGTTAAACATTTTATACCATGAGGTCACAACAATCCTATAAATACTGTTATACGCATTTGACAGATGAGGAAACTGAAACTTCAAAAAATTAAGCTACTTGCCCATGATCACACAAGTATGGGGCAATGGGCCCAAACCAGGGTCTGTGTATTAGTTATCTATTGCTATGTAACAAATTAGCCCCAAAACTTAGCAACTTAATACAGCAAACATTCATTGTCTCACAGTTTCTGTGGGCCAGAAATCTGGGGGTAGCTTAGCTGAGTGGTTCTGGCTCAGGATCTCTCATGCAGTTGAAATCAAGACGTCAGCTAGGGCTTGACTGGGGCTAGAGGGTCCACTTTCAAGATGGCACACTTACATGGTTTGTGGCATGTGGTATTTAATTCTTCACTGGTTGTTGGTAGGATGACTGGACCTCTCCAAAGGGCTGCTTACAACGTGGCAGCTAACTTGCCCCACTTCAAGTGATCCAAGACAGAGAGCAAGAGAGAGACCACAGAAAGTTTTATGACCTAGTCTCCGAAGTCACACACTACCAGTTCCTTTTTCTTTCTTTGTTAGAAGTGAGTCACTAAGTCTAGCTCACATTCAAGGGAAAAGGGGTTGTGCTCACCTCTTGAAGACAGGAGTATTAAAGAATTTGTGGACATCTTTTCAAACCACCACCATCTATCTGACCTAAAGCCCAAGGTCTACAGCTATCCACCAAGTAAGCTGAGCCTTCTGATGCCATTGGAGCGTACAGTGCTGGTGACTGCTGGCAGTGACATTAACTCACAGTAGAGAAACATGAACTTCTAATTCCTATTACAATAGAATTAAACAGAAGCAAGTTTTAATTCATTTCTCTCTTACATACAAAGGAATAAACAAACACAACTTTCTACTTCAAAATCGGATCACGTTTCTATAAGCATTATATGTTATAATTCAACCAAGGCCAAATTTTCCATTTATTTTTATTTATTTTTTGTTCACTTACTTTATTTATAATATATGTATATGTATACATATATCACTATGTAATAACTCAATTTAGTTCTTTTGTACCAACTGTAGAAGGATTATACATTGTACTTGAAATGGTGTTGCACATTTTAGAGGCTGGACATCTAAGCTGGTCATTCACGCAGGCTCATATTTTTGTCCCATTTTCTTTTCTAATTGAGTTGAAGAACCCACTCAGCATAATTTTATCCATGTACTTAATGTCATTAGTGAACACTTAAATGATCTTAATAGTACATATATCTCACGTTTTCCTTATTAAAAAATCTACAAATCTAATTACATGTGAATAAAATTATTCCTGATATTCATTTGGTTTGTTATGCAGCTTTATAATCCTTTTCATGATATACCATCCACGAAAAACCTTTTCCTAGCTTAAATACGTACTCTGTCAGCTTTTACTTTCATGACTGAAGTTGTCCTTTCTGTTCCCTGTGCAGAATGTGGTCAGCAGTGGAAGGAGATGGCTTCGTGAACAGCAGTACACAAGGTGGAGGCTTCACTGTTTGAAACTTCAGCCTCTCTCCCCTGTACCAAGGTATCGTTGGTGATGTCAGCTCACTGAAGTGCCTTAGATGTTCAAAGTTATCCACTGGGTCCAGGGGGACAACTTAAAAGTACTATGGTTTTGATGCTAGCTAATTTTCCCTAATTGAATTGCTGCACTATTTGTTCTTTCATACGTCTTCCAAAATTAAACAATAATGAACATGTTTACCATATACTGTCAATTCTACAATGCATATTTTTTCATTTCTGAAATCTGGATGTGTGTTACGGTCGATGATGTATCCTATGTTCAGTTGCAGTGTCTTTTCTTCTGAGTGGTCCATAAAAATAATAGTGTCTTAGATTTGACAAAATATAGTGATGCAATATTCAGAATATGCTTTTCAGTGTTAGAAATGCCCAACAAGTGTCAGCTTGGCCTTTAGGACTATGTAGGTTTCTCCTCTGTAAGTAAATGCCCAACCAAACCCAATATCATTCATTCCATGTGAGAACTGAGCTCAGTTTTCTTCAACATATAGAAATATCTGCTATCTGACTGGAGAGTCTGTGATAGTCAAGATGGATATTTTCTCCAGAGTGCTATTTCTCAAAAATCAGCCATTGAAAACCCTACAGAGCACAGTTCTACTCTAATACACATGGGGTTGCCATGAATCATAATCAACTTAATGGCAACTGGTTTGGTTCTTATTTTAAGCTGTATATTCTCTCTATATAAATTTGGAAATACAAACTGCAACAAAATTAAAAATTTGTTAATTAAATTTAATTTGTTAAAATTCTTATGTATACATAAGAATCACCCAGGGATCTTGTTAGAATATAGGTAACGATTCAGTATATCTGGGGTGGAACTGCAAATTCTCAGCAGGAGGTTGAACCGGAATGAACCAGTTTGAAGCCCTGTTTAGAACTGACCTCTTTCCTTGGGCAATAGGCTGAATGCTCTGGTTGGATTATAACTCCCAGGCTAAGTGAAATCCTCCAGCTAGGTTTTCTCCCCTGAAATAAGACTAAACGTCATAGTCATCTTCTGTGTCCATTCATAACATAAATTCTAGTGAAGAATGTTATTCTTTGTGGCATCGTCCGTGTAGTTATGCAGTCTGTTTTGTAAAACATCTCATTTTTTGAAGTTATGCTGGTATAGGGCCTTAGCTTTAAAAAAATAAGTAGATTCTGTTTACAGAGGACTAAAAGAATGAAGATAGACTCTGCCAATTTGTATATCATAGTGTATAAACCAAAATAAATTCTACTTGGGGGAAAGGTGCTTTACTTGTTTGACCAAATTTGACTTCTAGAGCCTCTGGGGAAAGAAAGGCAGGCTGAGTAGTTTATAAATCACTCCAAAAATCAAAATGATGTCACTATGACTCTTTAACTACTGAAGAGAAAACCTGGGACATTTTTCAAATTTAGGCTATTCAGTTTGGGAGTTTGTAGGGGGAGAGAGACAGATAAAGGGTATAGCCAGAAAGGAAAAATGAAGAATATAGAAAAGTAAACCAAACCAAAATCAAACCCACTGCTGTCAAGTCAATTCCGACTCACAGTGACCCTATAGGACAGAACAGAACTTTCCCATAGGGTTTCCAAGGCTGTAATCTTTATGGAAGCAGACTGCCACATCTTTTTCCCATGGAGCAGCTGGTGGGTTCGAACTGCCAGCCTTTCAGTTAGCAGCTGAGTGCTTAACCTCTGTGCCACCAGGACTCCTGATAGAAAAGTAAAGGTGGGCGCGGGGTGGGGGACTAGAGAGGAATGAGGAGAGGACAGGGGACAGGGGTTATCTGGCTTGGAAGTGGTGAGCTCAGCCCCACATCCCGGGCCTGAGGCATCCTCTCCCCGTCCCCCAGGCATCCTCTCCCCTTCTCAGCTTCTCTAGTGTGTTTTGGAGAAGTCTGCATCTGAGGTCAGTTTACTGTTACCTCCGACATCAAGGTCAGATCACCATGGGGTCTCGGAGGAGTATATATGATAACATTAGAGCTGGGAGTGGGGCGTTGGTGGTTCAGTGGTAGAATTCTCACCTTCCATGGGGATACCCAGGTTCAGTTCTGGCCAGTGCACCTCATGCACAGCCACTACCCATCTGCCAATGGAGGCTTGCATGTTGCTGTAACAGGCTTCAGCAGAGCTTCCAGACTAAGATGGACTAGTAAGAAAGACCTGGCAATCTACTTCTGAAAGGTAGCCAGTGAAAACCCTATGGATCACCACAGTTTGATCCACAACCACTCATGGTGATGGCTCAGGACTGAGCAGTGATTCGTTCCATTGTGCCTGGGGGTCGCTATGAGTCTCAGCTTACTCAATGCAGCTAACAATAACAACAGGTCTGAGAGTTGATTTGTCAGCAGTTAAGACCAGAAAAAATAAGAGCATGGGGGCTCTCTGCCTTGGGGAGGGGGATCTACAGCCCATTGCAAAGGGACTGCTGTCCCACAAAATAAGTCCTCCAGGCTGAGTCCCAGCACTGCTGTCTTCCTTGTTGTGGAACTTTCCAGAGCAATTCTGACGTCTCCTCTTCCGTGCTAAAGGCTCTGGTCTGGCCTTGCTGCCTGGAGAACAAGTGTGCGTTCCAATTCTCACTCTCACACAGATGGCCTGCCAGACGGATGGCCCGAACCACAGTAAAAGAAATGACTGTACACATGAGCCCCAAAAAGCACTCTCTGAAAAGTTCATCGTTACTGAGGTGATTTTCATCATCCATCTGCAGGAAGAGCCATGGAGTTCTCGTCTTGCCAGTAAAACAGAACAGTTCAGTTATTTGCCCAGTGACACTTTGGAGCTACTAAAATTTCCTAGGCTGAAGTTGAGCTTGGAGCACTAGGTCATTTTACCAACAGTTATGTAATTAATCAAATATTTTGAAATCTGATTTTGGACTTGAAATAGGAAAGAAAGAGGGAAAGTATGGACGCAGATAAAACAAAACAGCATTTCCACATTTTCGAATGGCCAAGAGACACATGTGGCTAGCCCAATTGGAGAGCATTATGCAATAACCCTTGTAGTCATGGTTAACCAATACAGCAATGACCCATATAGAGCATTTGGCTGTATGGTGGAGTTACATTTGTGGGAGGCCCTTGGACACGTTGTGATATATTCTCCTTGCCCTGTGGCATAGGTGTTATCACTGTCCCTGCATCACACTCCCCGCAGAACTAGGACCTTTGTGAGTTTTTCTGGGTTGCTTTTCTAAAATGATGCATTGTTTTCACATGTGCATTAATTGTTAATTGCGCATTAATTGTTAACACTGCTTGGGAGAAAGGACCACAGAGCAGTTGCGTTAATTTAGTTGTTGGCATGGTATATGGTTGTTTTTCACTTCAGCATCGACCACCGAAGCTGAGAGAAGACTCTTGTCTCTTCTGTGTTTTCCCCCCAGTGATATTGAGATTTCAAGAGGACAGACTCCAAAAGCAGTGGATGTCCTTGCCAAGGAGATAGGATTGCTTGCAGATGAAATTGAAATCTACGGCAAAAGCAAAGCCAAAGTACGTTTGTCTGTGTTGGAAAGGTTAAAAGATCAAGCAGATGGAAAATACGTCTTAGTAGCTGGGTAAGCCAACTTTTAAAACCTATTTTGCAAAGGAGACATGTTTAGAAAACTCTCTTTCCCATTTACGTCTGTCATCATACCCTCAAATCCGTCTTCTGCTCAAATTTGACAGTACTGTGTCTTTTTTCACTTGGCGATCCTTCATTAACATGAGGCAGGTTTTTCTTTTCAACGCCAAACTAATTTGTCTCCGTCACAAAATATAAAGTGTAACAAGTGGCTAATCTTTTGTTTCTCTTGATAGGTTGTGGTCACCGCTGCTCCTCCACCTTTGAATTTTCATGACAAAAAAGCAAAATAAGAATTGAAAGTGAAATATTTTGAACTGTGCAGTTTTTTATGTGTTCTGTTTTAAAAAATATTCTAGTGGAAAATGCACAGATAATGAGGCTTATACTTCCCTTTTAATATCCTTGATATTTCTTATTTATGCAGTCACATTACAAAAATTCATTTTTCTTATGTTTCAAAACTAGTGGTGGGCCATTTTCACTCATGTTGGCCATTTTATAAAGTGTTTTATAAAAGATATATTCATAGTTTTTGTGAAAATGAGTGTTTGCTTTGTCTCCTCCCCGCCCCCCTGCGTTTTAGAAAACTACATCCAAGCACAAGATTCTTACTAGTTGAAAGGATGATAGGAAGCAAGGGATTTCAAGTATTTATTCAGTGTGACCTAGAGGGAACATCAAGAGACCATTTAAATTTCTTTGTTGTCTTGAAATTTCATTGCATGGACTATTATGATATATGGGCCAAGGTTTGAGGTGAAAAAATGTATTTATTAGGCAGAGACATTTGTTACAACTGGATTTGACTTTAATAGTTAACTTTGTTTTTTTACATATTTAATGATTGATATGTTGTTGTTAGGTGCCGTTTTGATTCCGACTCATCACCACCCTCTGTGACGGAGTAGAACTGCTGGGTGGGTTCGAACCACCAACCTTTCAGTTAGCAGCCGAGCACTTAACTATGCCCACTGTACCCATTAACTTGTTGCTGTTGAGTCAATTCTGACTCATATCAACCCTGTAGGACAGAGTAGAACTGCCCCATAGGGTTTCCAAGGCTGTAATCTTTACAGAAGCAGACTGTCACATCGTTCTTCCACTGAGCGGCTGATGGGTTTGAACCACCAACCTTTCAGTTGGCAGCTGAACACTTTAACTACCGTGCCACCAGGGCTTAATTATTAATATGTGCTTTATTATTATTTTTATTTCTTTGGAAAAAAAGAAAGTTTAAGCAATTTATTTAAGTCATAAACCCACGACAGTAAGTATTTCTTTTTATGGTATTAAAAATAATACATATCCATTGTAAAATTATTCAAAAAATACAAAAAAATGGACAAGAAAGTGTAAGTCATCCTAAATCCTACCACCCAGAGGAAAGGACTTAGCATTGTGAAGACTGTCTTGACACTGACACAGTCTTGCGTAAATGAGATCATACTAAATGTGCTCTTCTGTAAGCTACTTGTTTATTCAACAATATGCGTGTCCCTGGTTCCATGTCACTGAATATATACATCTGTATTATCAGTTTTCACAGCTATGTAACATTCCATTGCTTGCCATCAACAATTCTTAAATGTGTGCAAGAGGGGAAGGTGCTGGGAAGCAGGTAGTAAAAAATGGCTGGGAACAGAACTCAAATTCTAGTAAAAGACCAGACTTAATGGTCTGACTGAGACTGCAGGAACCCCAGAAAGCATGGCCCCCAGGCTCTCTGTCAACCGTGCACTAAAACCATTCCCCAGGCCAACTCTTCAGTCAAAGATTAGACTCACAAAGAAAATGATACTCTCGAAGAGTGGGCTTCTTAGCTGAAGTAGATACATGAGACTAACTGGGCAGCTCCTTTCTGGAGGTGAGATGAGAAAGCAGAGAGGGTCAGGAGCTGGTTGAATGGACACGGGAAATCTGGGGTGGAAAGGAGGAGTGGTGTTGTCACAGTATAGGGAGAGGAATTAGGGTCACATAACAATGTATGTATAAATTTTTGTATGAGAGACTAACTTGAATTATAAACTTTCACTTAAAGTACAACCATAAAAAAAAAAAAAAAAAATGCCTGGGAAGATGGTAGATTCCAGATCATGAATCTGCCTGGCACCTCCAGCCCCACTTGGAGAAGCACTGCTGTGGCTCAGCCACTGATGAAAACCAGTTTCTATGGAGTCGATTCTGACTCATGGCAACCCCATGTGTGTCAGAGTAGAACTGTGCTCCATAGGGTTTTCAGTGGCTGATTTTTCAGAGTAGATTGCCAGGCCTTTCTTCCGAGCTGCTTCTGGGTGGACTAGAACCTCCAACCTTCGGGTTAGCAGCCAAACACTTTAACCATTTGCACCAACCAGGGACTTCCAGCTGCTGATACTACAGCATATTTTTAATTCTTCAAGTGTATTGAGGCATAAAAATGGATTGAAAGTATGATCTGGATGTCCCATAATTTATTTAACCACTTCTCTAATGATGAGCATGTAAATCGTTTCCAATTTTTGGCCATTATAAACACTACTAAAATTAACAACCTTGGGCATGCATGTTTGTGCATTGTTGTGCTGTCTCCTTCGGAAAAATGCCTAGAGGTGAATTCAGGTATTCAAAACTATAAAGATAAAAAGCAGAAATATCATCTATAATCTCACCTCTCTAATGGTATCATAATTTCATATTCCCTCCTCCTCCTTCATTTTTGTAAGCGGGATAGACAGCCAGGATCTTTTTCCCCCGCTGGCTGTAGTTTCAAGGAGGTTTATACAGAGATGCCTCAGAAGAAAGGCCTGGCCCTCTGGAGCGCAATTCTGTTCTGACATACATGGGGTCCCCATGAATCAGAATCAGCTCAATGGCAACTGGTTGGTTTTGGTATACTTTGCCGTGGCACTTGGTGGTCTGTGACTGAAACCTTCTTCCTCAGGCTCAGGACCACCTCCGTTGGATTCTGAGTCCCTTGCCAGGTCTTGGGTCCATGTGACTGAGCTTCGGAAAAGCTCCCTGCTGAGGGGATACTGGCCCCACCTGCAGGCACCTTCTGGCCTTCTGAAAGCAGCCGGCCAGCTGTAGGGTCCTGGTGTTTGGGGCACACAGTCTAGTCAGTGTTGCCATCCTGAACAGAATCAAACTTCATGCACATTTGCAATGAATAAATAGACTTTTGAACATTAAGAACTTTAAAAAGCAAATTTAGCATCTTATCTTCAGATCTGCGTCCCTGCTTTTAGGCTTGTTAAGTGGGTCACTGATTTCCTCACCTGTTTGAGGTGGACAGACTTCAGGAAAACTCAGAAAAATGTGCTTTAAAAGGGAAGAATCAAGCAGCCATTTTTCTCACTGATTGGCTGATTCGCTTAGTTTTGTGCTTGTCAGTATTGGCAATAAACACACAGATCTGCATATGGCCCTGCGCTTTGGTGAGAACACAGAATTGTCACTCCTAAAGCAAAAGCTCTGATGATGTTACCAAGTTCCTAAGTTGAAAGGAGCCCTGGTGGCCCAGTGGTTAAGTGCTCGACCGCTAACCGAAAGGTTGGGATTTTGAACCCACCCAGTGGCTCAGTGGAAGAAAGACCTGGTAATCTGTTCCTGCAAAGCTTACAGTGTAGAAAACCCTATGTGGCAGTTCTTCTCTGTCACATGGGGTTGCTGTGAGTCAGAACCGACTCGCCGGCACCCAACTACAGCAAAGCAAAAAGCTCTGATGGTTTTGTTATCGGCTTCCTAACTTGAGGTCCTATTTGGCCTCCTGCCGCGTGCCAGAGGATGGCTGATGTGGGATCACAGCCAAACGTCCATCTGTACCCAGTAGAACATTCTCCCACACTCTTCCTTTGCAGGCGTTAATATGTGTAACTGAACTGAAGAAGGCATGCTGTCATGTTGTAGATAACAGGCAAAAATCAGACACAAGTTCTCAAGTGTAGATTTAACCCTAAGACAGACACAGTTCTCTTTCTGAATCGTAGTGTACATTCCCTTACTTAACAAAGACCTTTGAAGGAACAAAAATTAAATTGTAGTCCTTTTACCAGCATTGAAAAAGAAAGCTGTGAGGGTTGGATTTTGAGTATATATACATCTGTAGCAAAATTTGAAGAGTTTTAGAAAGTGTACACTACACACACTGCCTTCTATAAGGAAAATATAAACCTTTTTTTTCCTTCAGCACAAGTGATATATTTTTTTTAAGTGTGTAAGCTGCCTTCAGTATCAAATATTTAACAGCTGGGTGCTTGAGGCCAGTTTAGAACACAGTCGTTTATAATCTAAAGTGATAAATCAATTCAAAATAAGAATCACCTCCACATTTTTACTTTTGATCTGGTCAGCCATGGAAAAAACTGGTATTCTTAAACCATTATATGTCCTGTTGTAAACTTCTTTAGAAACAAATAAATTATCTCTTCTCAAAGTTTTTTATTCTGAAAATAATACTGGTTTATTGTATAAAAATTTAGACCATAAAGAAAAGTAAAAGGAAGGAGAAAAACGAAATCCTTCATTACCTAGAGTGTTAAAAATTTTTGTTTCCTTCCAGGATTGTATTTATGCATCCATCCTTTTTACACATTTCAGATCATACTCAAAATACCATTTTATGTCCTACTTGTTTCTCTGAACACTATAACAAATCTTTTCTCATTCTTTAGAAGATTTCGAAGACCCTAGTAAATTTTCAGTACACCTAAATAACAGTACACTTGTTATTGTACATTTTGAATTTATGTATAAATGTGGTTTCAGCATAATCAACGGTGGGATTAAAATATAAAACAATAGGATTTAAAACTAAATCTTACACCATTAATAACCCAAATGCAGAACAGATTAATTCTTTTTAAAAAGTCATTCTTCAAACTTGAGGCTTTCTTATTCAGTCAGAATCATCTGTATTTCATCAGCTGCACTTCTCATGGTATTTACACCTACACATCACTTTATTTGCTTTGCCTGACAAAATGAAAAGTACTGGGAATTGTTCAGGGAAAT